GCTACTGTCTCAGTAGCATTAAAATATAAATAATTAACTTAAATAATAGATGTCTGTTCTATAAAGCAGCAAAAAACCTCTCTGTTTCTTTGTTGTGGATAAATCTTAGTTAGTACTTTGCATTTCAGTTTTGTATGTGTGGATTTAGTGCAAATATTTTTAAATTCAGCTTTTAAATCAGTGAGCACAAAGTTTTAAGGCTACAAAATTCAGTGATCAATCTCTCTTAAATCTCTCAAGTCTATTTATATAACATAAACTGCTCACTTCTTGCAAGTCCTAGGAAACGTGCTTCTTAACTACACGTAGGTTAGGAAAGTCCTAGGAAACATGCTTGTACTGTATATCAAAAGTACCTTTAAAACAAAGAAAATGTTGTGAATTGTTCCTAAGCTCTATTGTAATTCTGAAAATTGTATCCATACCTTTCTGTACATGGGGACATTTAGTGTATACTGCAAAAATGAATCGATGTAAAGTGAATCCTCATAGAAGAAGTGGCTTACCATAGTTTGGTTTTCAGCCAGGTAGACTCTATAGTTGCGACAAGCATGGCAGTGACTAACAGTAGGCCCATAGCACCCTCGACATTCATCAGCACACTTGCCACAACGATGGTTGATGTCATCTGGATAATGGTCTCGAGGACATTGCGATTCGCACTGCTCTCCGGAGCTGTAGTGGATACATTCACACACTGACACGTGGACTCCATAACCAGTACAGTTCTTACACTGTTGATGGCACTTTCGACACACCTATAAAAACCATTATTATTATTATTATAAGGGCTTGTGTTGTTTATACTAGCTCAAATAGACAGGAAAACAACAGACATATCCTGTGATATTTAGTTCCAAAAAACAAGAAATATATCACTTGCTGTACATGCTTTCAAAAACTTCAGCGGGAATACTTGGTGAAACAAAAATAATAGCGGAATAGAACCTGACAATGGCTTCAAGTTATGGTAGGAAAAAAATAAAACACTAAATTATTAGTTAATAATGAGTTACAAGTGATTTTCCAAAGTATCAATAGATCATAACATACTTTATAACCGAGTTAAAAATACACTTCTTGAGGGATATTTCTTTTATAGATAACGAGTTTTTATCTTAAGTGCAAACTAGAATTTTTAATTCTTGCATGCGGTTCTCAACAGATGCTATATATATATACATATTTGCATTCATAAAAAAGCAAAGAAAAAATATAATTCAGTTATTTCTGATATATATTGATGTATGGTTTTCTATGTACTTGGAAATACATTTCCATGACCAATTTCACCAAATTTAATCAAATACATATTTAAAATTGTACATCGACTAAAAATGTTTTTTTTTCCTTCTTACACAGAACTTGATCAACATTATTGAACACTTTAATAGTACGGCAAAACGTTTGAATATTAAAAGCAGTTGATATCGACATAAAACGTAAGAAACATTACTAAATATCAAAATTCTGGACAGTATCAAAATAAAGTAAAATTCTTTAACGAATGATGAAGTTTTAAACAGAGATATTTTTGAAACTGTTTTGTCATAAACAAATTTATTTAGTTTGATTCAGCTGTGTTTTTTACGTTATTTAGTTTGATTCAGCTATTTGTTTATTTACGTTATTTAGTTTGATTCAGCTATTTGTTCAGTTAGTTGTTACTGTGTTTTTTTACGGGTAACAACTAACTGATTTTCCAGTCAAACTTTTGAGAGGCCCTTCTTCCTGAGGCCCTATATATTCAACATAGAATCCTACTGGGCACATTTCATCTGCTTTCAAGCACTGCTCCTAAAAGAATGAGAGAGAAAGAATGACTGATTTGGTCTTGTTTTCCGATTAGGAATAAAAATGTTTTGTTTGTTGTTAAGTACAAAACTATACAATGGACTATCTGTGCTGTTCTGCCCACTGTGAGCATCAAAATCTGAATTTTAGCATTATAAATCTTCAGACATACCACCAGAGGGGGCTTGGGTAACAATTAGTTGACAAGTATATCAATTATTGACTGCACTTCTATTAATAATCAAGACTGGCATGACTCGGGGGTTAGGACACTCGGCTTGCAATATGAGGGAGGATCGAGGGATTGAATCCTGTCCCCAAACGTGCTCTCCCTTTCAGCTGTAGGGGTGGTATAATTTTATGGTCAATCCCACTGTTTGTTGGTAAAGAGTAGCCCAAGAGTTGGCAGTTGAAAAGATGCCTTCAATCTAGTCTGTCACTTCAAAATTAGGGATGGCTAGCACAGATAATTTTGCATGAAATTCAAAAACCAACCAACCACTAACAATTTGCTCATAAAAAAAAAATTCTAAGCTAGGGGTTCACCCATGTTATGAAGTCTTATTTCTTAAAATTCAATAAATTAAGTTGTTTAATGATTTTTCATTCTATGAAATATTTTGTAAAGAGATCTAAACACTACATTATATTTGTTTACTTTACTATACAAGGAGATGTAAAGAAAGAAACCGAGTGGTTTATATCATATACGTTAACTAAGTTAACATAAAAAATAAACCACAGTCATGGAACAAAATATTAGCACAAAGACTAGGAAACGACACACTTTCATGTGTCCCATCCCATCCTAGAGGGACTGTGTAGGACTGAAGGGGACACTCGAAAGTGTCTAGTTTCCTAGTCTCTGTGCTAATATTTTGTTATATAGAAACTGGGTATTTATACTGCTAACGTAACGTAAAACTAAATTAATTCAAGTTCAATTGATTACTTTCTGCTTCTTTTCAGACTAATTGTTAATGGTATCTTTCAATATACAGGCAACAAAAATTAGTTTTAAAAGTTTTTAGATAATTTTTACTGCATGCTTTTCTATTGTTTGAGCATAACATATTAGAAAACAAAAATCCATAATAATTTGCTAGTAGTTAATTTTTGAAAACTTACCACAACATTTGGATCATATGCACTGACTATTGCTTTTTCACATGAAATACAACCATCTGGTCCGATGGTATTCCTCGGTCCAGTACATCTAAGAATCAAATATTAACATCTTGTTAATTGTTACAACTCACATTTTCAGAGTCAGTTAATTTGTCTTAGATATAATACTCTTCTGAGACTTAACTGTTGAAAACAAACAAGACAAAACATTGTCTAAGAAATTAGTTTTAATTTTAGCTACCGTTTCATTGTTTGCTCTGTATTATCAACTACTCTACCATATTTAATCTACACTGATACCTGATGATGTACTTCGACATCTGTTCACAAGTTATTACCAATATTTCAAATTAATCACGCGACGCATGTCCTTTCAGCACAAGACCACAGTTACTAAAAAAAAACATTCATCAGAGTAAAACATAAATTATACATTTTTTTGCTGGATTTTTAACCTCAATAATTTAAGGTGCTTAAACTAATCTTTAGTTTCCTATAAAATAATATTTGACAGCAGTGTATTTCTTGTTGAGCTCTAATAGCTGCGAGTGGTTTCAATACGTAATTCATCTTGTGTACAATTCCTCTACTTTTCTAACATACATGAACACAGATACAGTTTACTGTTATTACACATATCACCTTAAGTGACTTCACACAGATGTCTCTGAACATTCCAACAAATATTATTACACATATCACCTTAAGTGACTTCACACAGATGTCTCTGAACATTCCAACAAATGTTATTACACATATCACCTTAAGTGACTTCACACAGATGTCTCTGAACATTCCAACAAATATTATTACACATATCACCTTAAGTGACTTCACACAGATGTCTATGAGCATTTCAACAAATATTATTACTCATATCACCATAAGTGACTTCACACAGATGTCTCTGAGCATTTCAACAAATATTATTACACATATCACCTTAAGTGACTTCACACAGATGTCTCTGAGCATTTCAACAAATATTATTACACATATCATCTTAAGTGACTTCACACAGATGTCTCTGAACATTTCAACTGTTTTGAAGACCTCTAGTTTTTTTTTACAAAATGTAAATAATTTATAATGTTTCTGTCATTTTGGAAGACAGAGATAGCCATCTTTCATTATCAAGTATTCTTATGGTAGTTTTAGTAGTAATAATCTGTTTCTTTCATCTTACAGATGTGGATTTTAAACAAGCCAACAGAGGGCTAAATTATACAACAAAATATTTTAAATATACAAGTATCACTAGATGTTTGTAATGTGTATTTCATAATATATCATACACTGCCCGAGTGAAAAATCATATTTAATTATTTCTTCAAAAAAAAGATATAATTTATTAATGAATATATTTATGTAATTTTGTAAAATATACAATGTTTACTTTACGCGTGGAAAATCTCATAACACCAATCTTAATCTTATACTTTATCATGTGATATATAAATCTTAAAAAAAGACAAATTATCTAAGCTTGGTTTCAACAAGTTATATTCTACTGTTACAGTTTCTTACGAGTTCTAAATGAAAGTTTCTCTTATGTTCTGTTTTTAAATTTTATAATAATCATAATAGCTTATAGTTACTCCATCCTTAAAACAAATATTAAACTTTAATATTTTTAGAACAGCTTCTTAAAGCAAGAATCCTGAAAGATAACTTTTAGTCACCCCTTCTCAACAAGTATGCAATAAGTTGAGTTCCTCCACTTCTCTGCTGTTACATTTCTTGAAAGAGTGAATAATGTGAAAAAAACAATGTTTTTAAGAGTCCCGAGAAAAATGCTCAAATGTTTTTAAAATATTCCTTTTAGTTAAAAAATAGTCATGCAACCCTAAAACATGTCTGTCAGGCTCCAAATATTTTGATTAATAAATCATAAATATTGAGATAAAGAATTTTTGCCTGCAAGGAAAAATTAGTTTGTAAAAACTAATTATAATGAAAAAAACTGTGTTTTTCTACTTAGGAACACATCAATAAAATAAAATAGGTGTTTAATTACCCATCAACGCAGTTCTCGTGACAGTCTTTACAATTTCCTTTGTGATCATTATACTTGGAGTCTGGGCACATTTCAGAACAGAATGGCCCGTCTCGTACATTTCGACACTTGGAACAATTAGCTGCACTCTGGAATAGAGGACCAAATGTAATTAATTTCTTAGTTATAGTAATTTGCTTCCATTTTACTTAAAAGAATGCTTTGTCTGTAAAAAAAAAAAAAAAAAAAGTATTACCTTAGGTATAAAGCTAAATAATTTATTAAGCCCAAAGCTATAGAATGGGCTGTTTTTGCTGTGCCCACCATGGGTATGGAAAAACCGATTTTTTTGCCACTGGGGGTTGCTATGTAATTTGAACTTATTACAAGTTCAAAATATCACAGTTTTAATAACTTAAAAAAAAGGTTACTCTAAAGCTAACCACAATATTAAATTTAGTTCAAGCATTAACGAACCAAAAAACAATTATATAATTTTAAGAAACTGATATTACATTTTAATGAAAATTTAACTTAAAATTTAGATAGAATACACAACAGTTGTCTTCCAAGTATGCCTACTGGACAGATAGAGGTAATTGTTAAAAATATAATTACAAAATAAAAACTTACTGGACCGAAACATTCTCCGTCACATTGTTTGTGACAATATTTGCACGTTTTCATCCCAGCATCATAAATCCTGCAAACCAAAAAATATATAGTTTACCATGGGTTTCAAAATGTATATACATATTTTTATATTGTGTGTGGCTGATGATAATTATTTATGGTATGAGGTGAAATAGGTTTACTTTCATGGTACATACCTTGCAATCATCAAATTACTAAAGTAATGTTAGTATTAGCAAATTAGCTATAAACTAGAAATAGGAAAAAACGACTTACCCCTTCATTATAGTACAGTTCTCTACACATTCGTCACCTAACTTGTAGGCCTTACATGAAAGGCATTGATTAGTTCCTACACCCCAACAACCATCATCCGAACACTGAGAATCACAAACCAGTCCTTTCTCACCTGAAATAATATAAGTTAGAAAAATGTCAGTAACATTTATGCATAGGAAAGCAATGTTATGAACATACAGCAACAAAAAATTTCAACTTTGTAGTACAGAAAAGACTTTGGGTCAATAAAATAATTAGATATTTCATGCTGAATTACACAAGCAAATATTATAACTAAAAAAATTAATTTTAAAATGCTAATGTCAAATTGCTTTGAATATGTTTTTAACTGCAGAAATACACAAGAATTTATGAGAAGTTCAACTCACGACAAGTTTGTTCATCTGCATTGCTTTGTAGAAGACTACTAAGTCTGTCTGGTATGTGAGGTCCCGTTAATTTGTTCCATTTGATTTGTTGAGCGAAACACAGGTCTTTGTTTTCCAGGATAGTGATCCGTCCTGACCGAACCTTCTTCAAAGACTGCAGGTTCAGGGACTCGAGGGAAGTTTTTACAATGTACAAAGCAGCAAAGTACCTGTAGATGTTGTTGCAAGTAAATATAATAAAACCCGCTTTAGCTTCACATTACATGACATTACTTGTCCTATATGAAGGTTTTTCAAATAATGAAACTCGTTATGCGCTCAAATTTTCTTCTTATTTAATATTCGTAATATGAAATAAACAAAACTTTTAAATCTATTTTGCCTTTTACAAAAATGTCCCCCCAAAAAAAGAAGTGTCAAATTGCACTATATCATTTTAAAAAGTTACAAATTAACTAAAAATATACCGTACTTTTACTGATGTTTTTCTCTACTTAATTAAAACTAAAAAGAAAACTTCCAACAAAAAAAATTAATACAACAAGTCAATGAAATAAAAACAAAAGATGAAAAAATATTTAAAAACTAATGACATTGGAAACTAGTTTCTGTTTAGAAGACATTTTTCAATATTTTATCTACTGTTAATATGGTAAAACTAATCCACTGTGTTGTAGGTGAGTATTACAAAGTTCTAAATAATAATAATCCAATGCACTGCAGGTGCAACAGCCACCCCCCCCAAAAAAAAGAGAGAAATATAATATGAATTTGCCATTTGCTTCATCAACAATGTATTTAAGATAATAAAACTGTTTCTTTAAATAAGTGTTCCTTTTACATTTGATTTTTATCAAACCTAAAGAGAAATGTAAATTGAATGACATATTTGGAAAACATTACATACACACAATAAATCAACAAAAACATCTAATGTTTCGTTCTGTTTTATGCTCAGGTAGTGCGAGTTTACCGACACACCTCAGAACAAGACATTGCTATGATAGCATATTTTTTGATACATTTTCACACACAAATTTGTTTTAAATACATTTTTATTTATTGTAAATAAAAAAAAGGTTCCAAAAGTGCCGGAATGTCGTTTCCGCTACCAAAATAAGTACTGGAACGGCATTCTGATGCATTCCACTGTGACTTAAATACTGTTTTTACTTGAAATATTGTTTTATTACAGAGCATGAATTGAGAATGTGTTTCTGATCTTATATATATGACTAGAGATTGTTCTGGGATTTCATCCAAAGGTTACAAAACAATGAAATGTTATATTTAAAACATAACACAGTTAAAGACTTACTCAGTAACCTGTCTTCCACCGATGATTTCCAGGTTGCGAAAAAAGGAAAGGTTTTTAAAATCTGCCCGAGAAGCCTGAATACTGATGTAACCCGTCACTTCCTTTACTGTACTGAAAACTTCCAGTTTTCTTGGATGCATTTCTGGATATAGACGTCCAAAGGTGTTGCTGAACAGAATTAATAAACTACATTACATCTGTGACTTGTCTTATAATTGAGTTATTTATTTCAGCATTTTGCTATACCACTGTTCATACAGTGATATTTAACTGATTCAATACCACTTTTAATTTAATCTTCTCCTGCCCTTGGGGGAAAATGTATAAGTAATAAACCAGCGTAAAAAAACGTAAATATTTTAAATTACTTACTTTGGATACATATCTTGAAACCCCGTAAAAGTATTTTCCAGAATGGTGATAGAACCCTCAATAACTGTACATCCACGGAACGAATCAATGTTCCCAGAATGGACTAGATTTGCATCACCTTTACAATCTGAAATATAACAAAATCATGGAAATAATGTTAAGAAACAAAATTCTGTTTATATATTTCTCTTTCCAGAATTCAACAACATATCTCTACTTTTCCATGACATCATTCAACAAATGTGATTACTGTCCCTAGGAATCCTTTCTGTTGAATATTTTTAAACCAAACAGGTATTTTAATAAATCATTTATTCTACATTAAGAATAATCAAAATATCAACACCAGGATTCTTAAAAAATATTAATAAATAGTGCCACCCAGCGTCAATATTTTTCTTTCATTATGAGAATAATATCACAGTTAATTCTAACAAAGTGTTAGCTGTATTCATGCATAAACAAACTCAAAAGAACAGTTTCGATTAAAATGACAGAGAAAAAAAGGTGTGTGAATTATAAACATTATAAATACCAATTGAATTTGTATTATTTAGATCTTGTCTTTAATGCCAAACAGGAAAGTTTAACATGGTTTTATAATCATGAAGTCACTATATTACTTCACCAGAGAGAAGTATAGGTAAATTTTGTGGTTTAGTTTTTGTACCCGATTCGTAAAGTTATTCTTTTGTCATGATAAATATATAATAATTCTAATGTAACTTACTTTTTGGACAAGGCCCATCACATGGGACACATTCCCCATCCACAGCTTTCTTAGTTGCAGGGCAAGACCTTACACACGCTCCACTATCTCGTAAGAGGTGTTCTACGACATCAATAAATATATACATATATAAATATTTGATTTTCAGATATGAAAAAAATCCATTAAATAATAGTGTATATATTACATCATACATACATAACTTTATCAGTAAATATTTAGATAATCATACCAATATTCAATATTATGTGAATTTAAAACATACATATATACTTCTAATGAAACATTTAGAGCATATGATAACTATGAAAGAAACAATTTCTGAATCGTTATCGATTCTTGACATAACATCATCATTTCTTCACCTTAGAATTTAAAGTTGAGGGTATATCTCAAAATTCAAGTAATCTCTGTAAAGCATATTAAATAAATTACACTATTTTTTCTCAAATCACTCAACAATTGTATTGAAAAACTCACATTGAAATTTCTGCAGCTAAATGTTTAAGTTCATCAAATGATCAGAAGATCATTTATACAAAATACAAGATTAAAAAAAATGTTTTTATCAGTGCATTCTCTAAAAAAATTGGCAATATTTTAAATAATACATTACTCATAAACTGGGATAATGTAAGACTTTTGTACTCTATGTGTAACTTGTTACTAAAGGTTGGATGAAGGAAAGGCTCGGACGACTTGTTCGAAATATTGCAAACAAACTACATGTGCTATACTTCTGCTCACTGACCTGGACAATTCTTTACACATGTAGCCCCATATGCATATTTTCCACTGGGGTTGACTTCCCATGAATATGTGATTGGGTTATAGAGCATCATCGGTGGACATTCTTGTTTACACACTCCATTGTCGTTAAAGTTTCGACAAGCCTAAAGGTACACAAGACACTTTTATGTTAAACTTTAATTTCCTTAAAAAATATGAAACTAAAGTAGTGATGTTTAATCCAAATAATTAGTTTCAAAACTATGGAATGTTTAACATGAGAAGCGTAATGGTGGGAATGTATGTTTAACTTGTGTCCTTCAGCTAAAACTTTGGTACACCATACAAACATATTTCAAAGTTATCATAAAACATTAAATTACCTGTAAAATAACTCTCCAGTAATGAGAAGATTTAAGCTATTTATGTTAGAAAGCATATCTAAATTACTTTTAACAAAAACTGTATAAAGCTTAGACTTGAATAAAATTATTTGTAGGAATATACTACAAAGTTTGAAACTTACAATACTCAAATATTTTTTTATTTGTAATGATTTTTACCAGCTAAACGTTCAGTAGATTTTTTTGGCATTTAGAAACAAAATCAAAAATAATTATGAATTTCAAATTTATCTTAATTAAGAGGGGAGAAATATATGTAGATCAGTGAAAGTTGTAATGACCAGGGTGGGGGGGCTGTCTTATTGGTAGAGTACTGGCTTCAAAACACTAGTGTGAACCAAAGGTTAGAGGTTCAGGCCCCTCACTCCGATTTTCTAATATCTTGACACTTCATTAAACCTTTTATTTACTTGCCAAAGTGAATCTTATTTACACCTTATTTTTAGATCTTACAATAACCTAAAATAGGCTAATACATTATGTAATGTATTATAAAATTCCACTTTAAATGGCAGGGCCTGCCTGATCCTCAACTGAAGTGTTTTAATACCTGTGAGTTAAAAAAAAAAAAGAAAAAGTCATTAAACTTAGAGCTTGAGAAATGAAAACTTAATAGCCTCTTAGCCAAAATACCTAAAACGTGTATTATGATGTGAATTTATTTTGCTACTTCTGTAAGAAATATCTAAAAACTAGTTATTTAATATGGTATCAAGAGTAACCACTTGTAATTGTTAGGCTACTATATTACCAGACAGTCACTCTGTTTCGGTCCTACACAACCACCAGCACAGAACAAGTGACAACATTCTCGAGGGTTGGGGCCAAAACAGCGGCCCTGGTGGCACTGGGGTGAACAGTTGATTTTTGAAAACTTTTGACAGTTTTGTGGCCCTTCAGCCCAGCAGCCATCCTCACATGATTTATCACAAGGTGGACCTACGCAAATAACAAAAAATATAAACACAAGCTTTAGTAGGTCGTTATTTCATACTAAAATGTTACCTATACAGGAAACAAGGAGAGTTTTTAACGAAAAATCTGCATACTTTTTTTTATCAAAACAAGCTGTGAGAACGTTAATTATTAATAAATAGATTGTGGCAAAGCTACATAAACACACCAGGTGCTCAAAGCCCACACACAACGTTACTGGTTGGGTACGAGAGTTTCTAGTTGACTGAAATTGGTTGTGGTAAAAACTGTTGCCTGCATGTTATTCGTCCCAACTTGTAGTTAAGCCTAAGTATACTTTGCAATAAAACAGAAAATTTTGGCTCATAATATAGATTAGATGTATCAGATGAAGAAGAAACATATTTGAAAAGGTCTTTCGTTGTACAAAACTTAAAGATAGCTTTGATATACGGAAACATCTGTTAGCTGAGTTCTTGCACAGATATTAAAATATAACGTTGATAAATGGAAACATCAGCACATGTTGATACGTAGATCTTGAAAGTCGAGTTCTTGAAAATAGCGTTATATTTTAGGAGCTGTGCAAGAACTCAGCTAACAGATGTTTCCGTATATCAAAGCCATCTTCAAGAAACATACATATAAATGTAATTGAATTGTATTAGTAAAACTAGGAGTTAAGAAATATAGGTTATGTATACACGGATAGATACGTATGTTGGTGTATATTAACGTACGTTTTGGGTGGTATGTGTATAAATGGTGGTGTACGTTTTTGTGTGTGTGTGTTACATCATTCTGTAAAGTTTAGAATATATTAATAAATTCACGTCACTGAAACAGCCCTTACAATAATAATAACAATTTACCAACTTACACTCTCGTTCAGGCTGTGGGAAATCGTACACATAATAAGAAACGGCATTTAGACCAGTCAGAATTTCATCCCACCTAATGGAGCGTATGTGACAGAGATTATAGTTCTTGTAAAAGCCAACACTGCCGTTCAGGATATCTGTTGTAAAAATCAAACACATTTGTATGACAAAGAAATATATATCACTTAAGTAATCACTATATGTTCTTGAAAATACAGTAGTTGTAAGATGTATGTATCTTTTAGCAATGTTAACATCACCTACATCATGGAAACCTGATGGTACTCATTTTTATGGCTTAACTATTTCACAGCTTGCTCTCATATACACTTATAATAGTTTGTCCTCTCTCTCTCTCTATGTGTGTATATTTTTAATATTATTTTATGAGTATTTTTAATAACATTAAACTATATACAGAGTTATTATAAGGTTAACTGGTCTGATGTAACATTCATAATTTAAAAAACACACAATAAAGCAGTAACATTTAGTAGATGAATGATGAAACGATGTAAATTACGATTATAGTGTCAAAATAATTCTCCCCAGGAGGCGCTATAACTAATGACTGTATAAAAAGAGCATCAGAAATGTCAAGATTTATTTTGCCATTACATATAAGTTGTTTCCCCGGTAGGGACAGTGGTAACTTTATGGAATTACAATGCTAAAATTTGTGATTCGATTTACTGCGTAGACACAGCAAATAGCCTAATGCAATTTTGCTCTAAAATACATTTGACAATTTTATATCATAAACAGAACTATTCTAAGTGACAGCAAAGGAAAATATGTTATGCCAACCACACTGTATCTGCCATGTCCAGTGCCGACTAAGCCTTTCGCCTATAAACAGGATTCATCAGGCGATAAATACAGTAGACGTCTACACGCTATATATATGACCAATTTTCATGTACAACAAAGTTCAGATTAAACAAATGAGCTGCAATTATTGTCAATTTATTTGAGTCATTTACAAATAAGATGCATAGGTAAGCATTAATAACATAACATTCCTTACTTATTGTTTCTTATAAACCACATTAAGCTAATACTGGCGTGAAAGAAACGAACACAAAAGGCCTAGCAGCAACGAGGTTTATAAATAAACTTGAACAATGAGGATAAGTTGTTGACGTAACTTGGAACATTTTATCATCCCCATACTTCAGAGTAAAGTAATTTTAAACAAAACTGTCTTCATATAGGACAGGACTCCACCTCAGATTGCACGTATTGAGGCATACTCTCAGTCAGTATTTTCCATACATATAACTAAGTCTCATATTTGCTGAATTGTGGCGGGCGACGTCAAATTGTTGATATATTGTAATGCGCCCTCTACATTAGCAGTTCTAAAGACATAGATAGGTACGACATCAAATCAAGTACAACCGCTGGATATCGGACAATAACATTTTGCTCTGTATCATGTTTTCTCACGAATGACAGCGATTATAGACATAAATGGTTTCACATTGAATATACTGAAAATGTTGGCTGTGCGAATTTTACGGTTAGCGCCCTCTGATGATAACACTTTCTGAAATTGGATTCGTTTTCTGTTTGTTTGTAATTAAGCACAAAGTTATCACAATGGAATATCTGTGCTCTGCCCACCATGGGTATCGAAACCCGGTTTCTAGCGATGTAAGTTCGCAGACATACCGCTGTGCTACTGAGGGGAAGTTCGTTTTCTAAATATTAGAGTTCTCTATTGATAATTTTTCGAATTATTGATATTAGAATAGGCTAACTACCTTTTATAAAACCCCGTAGTTGCTTTGACTTTCAAATAAAAAAAACTTGTATGCAGTAAGTGGAATTATAACCATAAAACGTAAATAAAAAATCATGGAGATTAAGTTATAAATAGAAACTAGAAACACGTCATTTATTATTACGCATATCTTAACTAGTTGAACCAACATACTTGTATACTGTAATAATAATAATAATTGCTTTTAATATTTTAATTCTTTGTTTTATGGAACAGGGTTGTATATGAAGTAAAAGCTTATTATTATTACTATTTTCATTTGTATAATTATTGTATCACTGCGAAATATAAAACATACCAAGGCATTATAATTCATGATTATATAGAAACATTTCTGGACTATTTCCCTATATATTGAATTTTATTGATAATTTATTTCTTACTTTTATTCTCACTTACCTCGCAACGATGGCATTTCCAAGGTTTCCATTTTGTTCAAGGTGACCATTAAAGCCAGCTTCTTTTCTGTTTTATTAACTTGCAGATTGAACAGGTTTCGACCCCGGATAATCATCAGACTTGGAAGAACAACCCGTTTGACTTTGACGTGTGAGATCAACACGTACCCTGTAACTTCTCTAATATCTCGAAGAAAACTCAGATCAATATTCTCATCCTAGAAAGATACAGAAAAAAAATAAATTCAAAAATAAACTGATCGCATGTTTTTAAGATAATACTTTAACTGTCTCATCAAGCCAAAACATCGAGTTTTGCTGCAAGTTAAAGAAAAACACCCTAACAAATAACTGGAGGAAGGAAATAAAACACTTAAAACGTTATATGCTGACCTACTAAAATCTGTTGACACTAACACTAGCGGATATTGCAATTTTCTCATCTAAGCCTTACGTCACATAAAGCTAACTGGGCCACGACGACAGTAAACTTAGGCCTAGATGTGTTTGCACGCCATTATTTTAAAACTAGTTCTAAGATGTGCCTGTATTATCCACGAATAAATAACATCAAATAATAACAATAATAAAAAACATACACATAACAATTGTTTAGATTTTTGTCAAAAATTCTAATCCATGTTTCAAAGTAAAGAAAAGGGGGAGGGTGAATCTTAAATACTATTGGGACCGATGTAAATGTAGAAACCAAGATTAAACTTATTCATATAACGGGTATTATAAGTGATACATACTAAAGGCATGAGTTAAATCTGATTATATTTATAACTTATTAAAATAAAAAAAAACTTACAAGTTGTTTAGTAATTTGCCAAAAGCAAAATTACGTCATTTACTTTCAATCATTCATACACATCTGTGTGATATATTGTGATTGGGGATTTAGTCAGCATATTTTTTATTTTCATAACCTTCTTACTTTTTTTATGCGCATAATATTACATACAGTTTAGATGTTTAATACATTAAACAAATGTTTTATTTCAAATTTTTCTTAAGTGTGTTTTATTACAAAAATAAAAACATGCAATAAAGTGAAAACATACTATCAATACGTATGTTAAAAATACAAACACGGAATTTTCCTCTATTTTTGAAAAATTAAGAAAACAACAACAACAAAAAGAGCGATATGATGTCATAAAACTAATCATAAATATTATGCTGTGTTAAATAGTTTTATAAAACATAAAACCTAAAATATGTATGTTATTGTCACTGGGAAAAAATACAGTCACGGATCGTATATGGGATATAAATAGATTGTATGTAACGCAAAACAGGTCAATATTGTTATACAGAAACGTCATTAGACAAATAAGTGTTTTCATTATTAATTATATAGATAATGTATCTATTAAGTACGATCTATTTATACTTGTGCTACTTTCTCACATTGGACGGTGTTACTTGCAAACAAAGATACTTAAATTATAACAAAAAATATAAGGAAAAGAAACAAACCTCCAACCAGGTCAATTCTAAATTACCATCCACGTAAGTACAGTTCGTATATCTGTCACGTAGATTCTGGTAGTGGTGTTCCCGGTTTGATGGCACAGACATAAGAGCTTCAGTTCCTATGCATACTGTGTGAATAAAAAAAACAAAAAACTGTACGATTAGAACGTAACTTACAAGAAACAAACCTAATAATTTGTGCTCTGCCTACCGCGGGTATCGAAACCCAATTTTTAGCATTATATGCTCTCAGACTTAATACGGAGCCACCAGAGGGCGTGTTTATTAAGAGTTATTTCATACCCCAAATATTTAATTACAACTAGAAAAGGACACAGTAAAATTTTCAACTCTGTCGATAAGTGGGTTCACTTTTTTTGTTCATAGAATACAAACGAATTGGGCAATATCGTTGGTCAAAGTGGGAAAATCTAGGTAAGCTCGACGTTTCGTTTCCCCGCAGTGGACAGAGTACACATTGTGTATCTCATCAAGAAAACAACAACAGGTGACGTTTCTGTTACGTGGCTCCTCATAGCTTCAATATATTAAAAGGTGTAAATTAAACAGTATATAATTTTTATCATACGTAATGTTAAATTGGTCACCCACACACACACATATATACACATCTACTAATATGATCATTTTACTTTAATATAACCAACGTTACTAAGATGGAGATTATTTTCTGTAGTGAATTTCACATATACTGTATCCAAACAAAAGTTTTGAACAAAGCTTATTTCAAAGATTGTAAATAGTTAACGTACAGTATATATATATTATACCAGGCTTCGCTCGGGTTATTAGATTGACATTTTACTGGTCGACTGTGTGTGTGTGTGTTTGTTTAAAAAAATTAAACTCCATTGTTTTTTCATAAACCAAAATTCTTTAACTGTTTTGTTTGATGCCATTTTCCAAACTTTATTTATTTAAACCTCTTCTAGTATCCCGAGGGTCTGTTCTATGGTGGGAGGCATTTCCCCCCCGTGTTGCCTTCGCCTGGCTAAGAAGTGTTTGGCTCCATACCTTATTGAATTTTGTTCATTTTGGTAAAATATGTCGAATTTTTTCCCAATTTTGTCAGATTGTTTTTACCATTTTGTTGTTTTTCAACAGTATTTGGCAAACAATGCTTCCACATATTGTTCATTCTGTAAGCGAGAATTAGAAAAAAACAAAAATTGGAAAAAACATTTTTTGAGTCAAATCTAAAAAATAATATCCAAGTGCACAGAATCCCCTTAGTATGCGTGAAAAATTTCAGGTCTCTAGGTTATTCCTCTTGGAGCTATGGCGGTAACACACACACACACACACACACACAGATCTTAGTTATAACAACTTTTATGGTTTTCATTAATCACCAAGTCTCACGCGTAAAGTTTAATAATATACTTATACTTAGGTATAAACAAAATTCCAGCTCTTTCTACACTGTATGTGCTTAAAATAAAAAGAATAAATACAAGACACTAACTTTTTCGTTTTTTCACCACCACGTTGTCTAAGGAAGTTGCCATGGAGATACAGAACAACACTGTTACAACAATACAACATAAACACGTTTCACCTTCTGGAAATCTCATTATTTTTAATTAATTATTTTCTGTTTTTTACAAAGAAGCTTTCATAAAGAAAATGCACGTTTTTCCTGGAATTGGCAGCGTCGTTGACAGAAATAACAACGTTCTTCCATGCAAGAACTGAACTCACCTAATAGCGACGATAAATATTTATATACATACACCAAGCATTCTCTTTATATAGAAATATATATATGGAGGTAATCTGGCACCAATTTACTGCTATATAAATTACAAAAAAATGTATGGATTTTTTTTTCTGATTTGGCTAAAAATGTCCTGGCTGGATGGGAGTTTTGGTCACTTCGTTTCTTGAAGACTTTGTTTTCACGCAGATTTCTTCATCATCTTCACGATGTGAAACTGGTCGTCTTCTAAACTCTGGGGCATTTCTCCCTGCAAGAACGATCTTCACAAAGATCGGTTTCAGAGTATAGTGTACCATGTTATGTAATGGAAAATGTGTTCCGGTGAGGTCTTCACGAGTAACAAGTAACAGCTTGTGATGATACCTATGTAATTCACAAAATTGACTTCTTTTTTAGTTAGCACAACACTGGGGAATGCACACTCTTCATAAACAGCGATTTTTAGACGAGTAACGTGATGCACACACCTTGGATGACAAGATTTTAACCCCCCCAATGGATAATTTGGGGCTGCTAAACCACAGTAAAGGTATATTTAAACCAATGCTCTGAGGTCACTGTTTTAAAAATCGTAACAAAGCTATGTTGAAATGGACTCGCGAATAGTGAAAATTAGAAAGAAAAAAAAATCTGGAAATTGCTAGCAGCTTGTTTGTTTCGTTCTTCACACGCACGCGGTAGTTATTGATACCCATCAAGTAATTACTATATAAACTATGTAACCCCTAGTGAAAGAACGTGATCTTTCAAAAACTACAAACTGTGGTCTTGTCTTTTACATACCACAAACCACGTGCTCAGTTCTATTGTTTCGAAATAGCTTAGATTGGACTGCTGATGGGTGGTTACAAAATCATTTCAGTTCATAGTCCAAGTAACGAAACAGGATTATTTGCACTGCAGTTGTAGCGTCGATAATTCACTTAACGTAGTTATGTCGTAGATGACCGTTTCCCTTAACTACTAATAGTGACTCTTGGACACTGATTCTCGATAGACGTCATCAATTAATTTTTTTTTTCTTAGCTACAGTCAGTTATAAGTTATTTCAAAGAGGTTCTAAAGTGACACATGTTTAAGACGGTCTTTATTAAATTACTTCCAGATCTTAAGAATCAAAGAAGAAAAAAAAATGTTGATAACGCAAAATTCGAGTTCAATCTCTGCGGTGGGCAAAATGCAGACAGCCGACCGTGCAGCTTTCCACTTAACCCTATTTAAACGAACTTGAACTTAATCTATAAAAAATGTTAGCTACATTAGGTAGGGATAAAGAATGGGGCAGACAGATTGATATAGTTTAGTTTTTAAATATAATATCGAACAACAATACGAAGTAATTCAAACTAGGACACACAAGATGATGTAGTTTAGTCTGGAAGACATCATTTCGAACAACAATGGGGACAAATTAATCACGGGCATTACAACAAACACATGAACAAACTGTATTGCATACTTCACGAAGAAAAATAGGCCTGACTGTAGAAAAAAACCTCATCAATATTTTGGCAGCTTTCCGATATCTTTGAAAACTATATACTGTATGATAACGGTCACGCTGGGAGTTCATTTGATCGTTGCTTATCATAGATATATGGTTAAATAAACAGGTCACGTTACTTTAGTTGAGCGAGAACCTTGAAGTTTATATATGTATGGTGTTTCTTTGTACTATGCAGGCTAGAATTACCACAATCAACTGAGCGGACAATGGTGTAAAACAATGAACTATTTCACGCTGTGATACTGAAAACTACATAATTTTTGTTCGCTGGTGTTCGTACAACAAATATGGGGGTCATTACAACAAGGTTCTAATAGTTGTAAGTTATCAATAATTGAACAAGCAGTTAATTAAACAGACTGTAGTTTTTATTTGTGTGTTTATTAATAAGCACGAAGCTACACAATGGGCTATCTGTGATGTGTCCACAGTGAATATAGAAACGCGATTTTTAGCGTTGTAAGCTCACAGACTTATTGCTGAGTCACCGGGATTTGAGACTGTGGTGCGGCGGGTCTTGTAGGAGTCATTCGCAAAAGGTAACTGATTACATTCCTTATGAAGAATGTCTATTCATCCATCTGTCTGTCTGTATTTTCTCTATTTTTATTATCTTCCTTTGAAGATGTATATAGCTTACACACATACACACACACACACATATATATATATATATATATATAATGTATTTGCAATGGCTACAGATATTTTTATATTTTTCATTTATGGAGTAGTCTGGTAGTTATATAATTTACGTGTGTTTCACTATATCGCTATCTTTATGTATCATATACACAAGTTATAATTATTATTGTATCGTTTAGGTTAAAAAGGTAGTATCTCTAATAAGAATAACGAATCAACTCACTGCTAACTACTTTTCCAGCAAAGAACACTGCTAAATTTCATATAGTTTACAGGCCTATTGACCGTGTTACGTAGAATTACAAGTAACAGGATTTATGTTATTGGTTTCTCGTAAAATATGTCCCAGTTTTATTTCAAAGTACGCCGTGTTTCAAATTTCCGTGTTGCACTTGTTCTGGCAATACTTCAAGGTCTCCCTCCATGCAGTTTACCAGGCTAGACTACTTTTGGAATACAAATCACGTCTAATTTCACGGATATTAATTTACAGAGAGAACGTTAAAACCACTGCATATCATACAACAACGGCCTAACTTAATTTCAAACAATACAAAATTGACTAGACATAACAGAAGCTATCAGACGATACGTATAACATACCTAGACGGAATAATGTCGCCATCGTCATCTTATTTATCCAAACTAGTTTTTGAAGACAACTACGTTTTTATACTCATTATTTTGAAACCACAAGTAACTGAGCTATGTTTTGACTTTTTGTTTTAACATGTATATCACGAAAAACTTTACTTGCTAATAATTTTTCACCCACAATGAATTGCCGGTAAGGAAACGATTAGACGAATGTATAAACTCCGACAACTAGGCCTAGTGTATAAAATATTTTACTCGTTCGAAAAGGGCTCATTAATCTGTTTTCTCGAACAAGAAAATCTACTTGATTTCATACTAAAGTTACGTAAAATACAGCAGAATAAATAAAATACACGTTCTGAATAAACTGTTGATTTTATATTATCACAATTTTTACAGGTCACTTCTAAAACATGGCGCATACAGTCATCATTATTTTAATTAATAATACAGCTTCGACTGAATGGGAAAAAAAAATATTAAACTTTTGCTCCCTAACCTCGCGCGCAATGATCTTTCACGAGTATGGCGCGTGATATGTCCCGCCTACGTCGTCTGCCTACATTGTTCTTGCTGAACAAACTGATTGTTTTTTAAACCGAAAATGACGACATAACGTCAGTTTCTGAAATAGGATTTCAGAATAAGTTCATGATAATAAATTATAGTCATTTGAGCACAGCAACACCGGTGATGGGTTAAAAGCTAATTCAATCAAACAAAAACTTCCACGGATGATATATAATCACAAGTAAAAGCTTACGATCACGCTAGCCTAGCTTTGTGAAAGTAGGTTAGTGTTTCCTGGCTAAGGGATATGAAGTCCGAACCTCGAGACACATAGGTCAGTAAAATGAGAGAAACAAAATGTTTATTACACAAATGTTTTTCTCTTGGATATACGAATATTTCTGACATTCTACCAACTCCGCATCTCATTCGATGTTGTCAGGACGAGAAGAAGGGTACTACATCAAAAAATACGTTGTATAGCTTTCGTCGTTATCTGTTTCATTTCGAATAAGTTGCAATGAAGAAATTTAAATATATGCTGATAAAAGATATTTTATGATCTAGTAAATCGGTTGGCTAACTACTAGCATCTTTGTACTCGATTTCTTATATAAGGGTCAGGATAGAGTCGTTCGAGGTTCCACATAAATCGTATTTACAAAAACTATATTCATAACTAGCTGTGTGACAAACGAACATAATTTCAATTTCATAAATTATACAAGTCAACCAATGACAGTTGAGTTTTGTGTGTGTGTGTTGTAAATATATTATATGTCGTTCATTGTACTTGGCATTAACATGGTGGTTTTGTTTGTTATTAACACTAACCTCCAATCACATTAACATGGTGGTTTTGTTTGTTATTAACACTAACCTCCAATCACACTGACATGGTGGTTTTGTCATTAACATTAACCTCCAATCACACTAACATGGTGGTTTTGTCATCAACATTAACCTCCAATCACACTAACATGGTGGGTTTGTTATTAATATTAACCTCCAATCACACTAACATGGTGGTTTTGTTTGTTATTAACACTAACCTCCAATCACATTGACATGGTGGTTTTGTTTGTTATTAACACTAACCTCCAACCACATTAACATGGTGGTTTTGTTTGTTATTAATATTAACCTCCAATCACACTAACATGGTGGTTTTGTTTGTTATTAACACTAACCTCCAATCACATTGACATGGTGGTTTTGTTTGTTATTAACACTAGCCTGGTAATGAGTAAAGCTAATTAAACCTACTTTTCTTGCTTATAAAGATTAACAACAACAAACAAAGAACAGGTTTACAACTCATGACGAAGATGGTAATCTGACCTATATATCTAGAAATGAGAAGACTGGAATTTAAACACATATATATATATAATACATATATAACAACAGGTCGAACCACAATGTCTAGAAATGAAAACAAAAAACCTATACCTCCAGGAAAAAAAAATATTAAAAGGTCGTGTTGTAAAACATCCGTCAAGTTTTTATTGTTGTGTTTATAAACTAACACGATGCTTTAGTATTGGTGTACTAGTAAATGATCATTACGTTATTGGTTATATTTCACAGGTTATTCCAATAACCAAGTAAAGTGACGTTTCATGTGTTCATTGTAATCTTAAATCGTTTATTCTGAAGTGAGTTAAACTATTCGCCAAATTATCGTTTCCATTGCAAGAATAAACGTTATTCTATTTACTAAACATATTTATTATAGCACGAACGTTCAACAAAATATACTGACACGAAACACTCGTACCGGAGTAAAGAAAGAAGGCCGCAGAAACAACCCTAGCGGGGACAAGCTTCACCAAACAAAGACTCAAACGGCGCGAAACAAACGCAGACGATCCGAGAATCCAGCACAAAAGAAAAGGCCACAAAGTGTTGTCAGCAGTAATAATTATCTGTCACTTTACTTAGCTGAACACTAATTTCTTACCACAGTTTATTTATTTTTTTATATATTTTTCCTTACAGTTAAACAGTATTTTCTAAGGTACAGTTTCTAAGCGTTCGACCCCCAACCATTTCTGGAGCTAACTAATAAATAACATAGGTTTGTTTCAGCTGACAAATATAAGTATTTTCTTTTTCTGGGCTGATCCAATAGTAAAATTATTGACAAAACATTTTTGACTAAGATACGCGAATTACTAGGCGGATGTAATGGTATTTATTGCAAAGCTATGACGGCTATCTGCCACCGTCCCTAATTTGGAACACTGAACCGACCAGAGGAAGGCGGCACCCTATAACACACTATCTACGCTGAGGGATTGACTGTCACTCTTATAACTCACGCACAGCTTAAAGTACGGGGAATATTTTTGTGGTACCGTACAGATTAGAAATCCAGAGCTCTAGAGATGCAAATCGAACGTAGCAATAACAGCCTTCTAACAG